GTGGGTCTAACACGTGCACTGCACAGACACAATGATGGTGGGTGTAACACGTGCACTGCACAGACACAATGATGGTGAGTGTAACACGTGCACTGCACAGACACAATGATGGTGGGTGTAACACGTGCACTGCACAGACACAATGATGGTGGGTGTAACACGTGCACTGCACAGACACAATGATGGTGGGTGTAACACGTGCACTGCACAGACACAATGATGGTGGGTGTAACACGTGCACTGCACAGACACAATGATGGTGGGTGTAACACGTGCACTGCACAGACACAATGATGGTGGGTGTAACACGTGCACTGCACAGACACAATGATGGTGGGTGTAACACGTGCACTGCACAGACACAATGATGGTGGGTCTAACACGTGCACTGCACAGACACAATGATGGTGGGTGTAACACGTGCACTGCACAGACACAATGATGGTGGGTGTAACACGTGCACTGCACAGACACAATGATGGTGGGTCTAACACGTGCACTGCACAGACACAATGATGGTGGGTCTAACACGTGCACTGCACAGACACAATGATGGTGGGTGTAACACGTGCACTACACGGACACAATGATGGAGGGTGTAACACGTGCACTGCACAGACACAATGATGGTGGGTGTAACACGTGCACTGCACAGACACAATGATGGTGGGTGTAACACGTGCACTGCACAGACACAATGATGGTGGGTGTAACACGTGCACTGCACAGACACAATGATGGTGGGTCTAACACGTGCACTGCACAGACACAATGATGGTGGGTCTAACACGTGCACTGCACAGACACAATGATGGTGGGTGTAACACGTGCACTGCACAGACACAATGATGGTGGGTGTAACACGTGCACTGCACAGACACAATGATGGTGGGTGTAACACGTGCACTGCACAGACACAATGATGGTGGGTGTAACACGTGCACTGCACAGACACAATGATGGTGGGTGTAACACGTGCACTGCACAGACACAATGATGGTGGGTGTAACACGTGCACTGCACAGACACAATGATGGTGGGTGTAACACGTGCACTGCACAGACACAATGATGGTGGGTGTAACACGTGCACTACACAGACACAATGATGGTGAGTGTAACACGTGCACTACACAGACACAATGATGGTGAGTGTAACACGTGCACTACACGGACACAATGATGGTGAGTGTAACACGTGCACTACATGGACAGTGCCGGTGGGTGTTGTAAAGCCCGGGCACGAGCACACGGGTCAACACTCAACTTTCACGGCAGCTTTCAGCGCGTGGCCGAATAGAGTGATCAGAACCCATCAGAGTGTAACTTGAATGATTAAGAGACGAACTTTCTCGGGTTCTAAATCCGCGTGTTATCTCACAGCCCCACGGCGAGGGATTGGGGGGGGGGTGTCGCGGGAGGGGTGGTGGAGGAGACTTTAATCCCCCCAGCACACTAACTCGGTGTCACTCACACTTACAGCAACACACACAAAGACCCCCCGTGTAGCCTACACTTGCTGTCGGGGGCAAGTGCTGTTAGCGAGCGCCTATTAGGGTCGGCAAGGCACTCGAGGGCGTGGGTTGCGAGCACCACGCCTGGTCACCTTTGTCTCCCCAGTGCCGATGTTCCTACACCACACCAGGTGCTCATTTAAGGCCGAGTAGACCTAGGGGAGGCCCAGGAGACCGTTCAGATATTCGTCGGAAATTCATCTTGGGTCACCGGCTACGGAGCGACTGCGCCACCGCTCCTCTCCCCGACACGCGCAAGAAGTCGCACACACCCACGTGGACAGATTCAAGGGACTCACCGCGATCACGGCATTCGTACGAACCAAGGCAGACGGAAACCTTTTAATGAGATTCTAATACACAGGACTCGACAAGAGGCAAGGAGAGAGAGACGCGAGGCCGAGGAGATGCATCGACACAAAGCACGCGGCCCAACCACCTCGCCCACGGGCTCTGGCAGTCGTCTCGCAGACGCAGCCGTGGTCTGGCAGGCAATGCTGTCCACCCCCCGTTGCTTTTTGTTCACCTTCGGTTGTCCACCTTTTTGTGGTGGTGGGGGGGGGTGCCCAACGAGGTCAACACGGCGTCACGTCGGGACTTGCACAACACTGGTGAGATATCGGACTACCTAGCAACGACTGAACTGTTAAACGACGCAATCCAATTATAAAAGGTCGCACTCGTTGCACGTAACACCACAACACCTCGCTGCTGCTCTCGTCAAGGAGCGTAAAAACCATCACCACGTGACACTCCGGTGCTCATCCTCGCAGCAGCTGCAGCAGCAGCTTTTGGCTCGGCCATCCAACAAAGACGGCGGTCACCGCTTCTGCGGCCGTCTGGAACGCTCTTCCGATATTAGGAAGCCACTGGAGCGATCGACTATTGAATCTAATTTCCTAAGAACTGCTTTTTGTGTTTAGTTGTGCTTAGCCAGCACATCCGATTAGCACGGGCGGCTACGTATGGTGCAAGAGTTCAACCCATACATACAAAACAAATTCGCTCTGATCTTGTCCCGTGTTGAATTTGCCACAACTGCTGTGGTGGTGGATGGTGGTGTGCCGGTCTGCGTGGTCTCCAAACAAGAGTTTAAAGCTTCATCAATTGGAAAAAAATGCTTAGAAGTCACTTTTAATTGCAGTGTCAGTGCTCCGAGTGAGGTCACTGCTGCCATGTCACTCTCAGCTGCCACGGTGACGCTCACAAAGTTTGCTTTGTTTGTTTTTTCCAATGAAGATTCGAACTTGTGTCGGGACAAACAGCCTCGCACGTACCTACAAGATAAGGGAGCCGTTTGCTTTACTTACAGCCTGGGCTCATAATACAATACAGTTTCGAACATCGTTTTAACATACGCATTAACACAACTTAAGATGTCAAAGTGTTTGTAACGGCGGCGGGTTCCAGCAGTAAGGGAGGAAGCGATCGCAGGACGTGGGTGGCATTATTGGTCGTGATGACCTCTTGACCTTTATTTGTAGACTTGGACCATGGAGGCAAAGGCTGCGTTCGTGAGCCACGAGCTCCCAAGGCAAGACGCAGGACATCAAGTAGGTTGACAACCAAACCGTGCAACGTTTTCCCATTTTTTCTCTTCTTTGCAAAAACTCCGAAAAAATACGAATAAAGAGTCATGAGGACCAATGCCATTGTACCACCCACGGCTTCCCATGGCTTCTTGCCCAATGCCAAAATTCGTGCCACGACCACCACTTGGTTCCTGACGCCCTGGGTACCACTCCAGTGCCCGTCTCGGTGACCTGGTCTCCTCCAACCCAGCAAGCGGGTCCCACCCGTCACTCCCTCTCTTTCCTGAATAAATACCAAGCAAATGTACCGTATGTTGAACTTCTTTCGCACCGTACGTAGCCAACCGTGCGAATCAGAGGCGACAATAAACTAAACACAAAAATCAGTTCTAACGAAGTGAGTTTTAAATCCAGATGCATTCACATCGGTCAATGAATTCTGTAGGCAAACACTCAATGCACCGTTTTACGAGCTTGTTGCTGACGTAGGACGGGACGTGAAGTGAATAATACAAGGAGCATACAGCAGTCTCCTTAGACCACGGAAGGCGTCTCACACACCTAGCACATGAAGACATCAACAAAAAAAAAACACTGCTTAATCATGAACCTGTGTGGCTCATCGATAGGTAATCACTTCCCACTGGACACCTACATCAACAAAGGGACTTGCTCACTCAGGCACAGTCTGCAAAAAGCAGCACAAGGCGGCGTCGTCGTCGTTTCAACGCGGGGCCGATCCAATCGTCTTCGGAACACTTATTGCTCTGCACATCACAACACCGCCACCCCATCCAAACCACGCAGCACGCTCACCAACCCCAGCGATGCACGCGGCAGAGGCTGCCGATTTCTAAAGCCTCTTACCGCGATTGGATTCTCAAAGCGAACCACAGCGGTGTGTGACAATGGTCGAGGTGGAGTGGAGATTTTTTAAAATGAGTACGCAGCGAAAGGGATGGTCGGTAAGCGTCTCCCGCTTAAATCGTTGCGATCGCCAAGCGCGCCGCCGATGTACCGCCAGGGTGGCAGCGGTGGGTCGCTCCGTGTGGCAGCGAGATGTTAACTACCTCGCCTGGTACACAGGCGTTCGTGGGTTCGATCCCGACGCCTGTATATTTGGAGTTACCATTTTTCCCCCCATGGTCGCGTGGATTTTTCTCCGGGTCTTCTGGTTTTTCCCCTCCACATTTAGAATCAACACCACGCGTTTAGAGCATATGGCTGCTTCGTTGAGCTATCATTTGTGGCCAGGTCGCTTCTGAAAAAGAGCTATACAGCTCAGTTTTTAATCGTTTTTAGTTTCAATGCAGGCAGCGTGGGTGTGTAATGCAAGCAGCGATACGTGCGCGAGATTCCCAGCCTGCCGGGTCGCGAGATGAGCAGCTGCCATGGGTTGGAGGTCTTGAGTCGTACGGTTTTCTCCGAGTACCCCTGCTTCCTCCCACATGTAATACTCGGCAATCGTCAAAAAACATCCTCCTGGGCGAGTTGCGAGATCCAGAGATGCTCTCTCAGGAGGTTAAAGGGCTATTACAATTAGGTTTATAGTAACGCGTGGAAGTGTGATGTTGACACGTGCTTGCGAATACACTGCTGGATGAAGGACTCTCAATGCTTTGTCAGCCATGGACGTTCTTCGTGCCGGTTCAGATATTACCACGGATATAGCCATGGCCAACCATTGTGTCGTCGATACCCCCTCCAAAGCGCTAACCGCTCAAAATTTGGTAAGTACAATTAGATGTTTTTACCCAGTGTCTCATTCGCAAACCTTTTTTGTGACTTTCAGCCATTGCCAAATTATATCTCTTTTTGAAGTCGGTCTCGAGGAGCACTCTTAAGCAAGTCACAAAAAACACGGGATGAACGTTACCCGTGGCCACGATCATCATGGTTAAAACCAAACACGGCCCTGTGTTGAACATTGAATCAAACTCGTCACGGATACACTCTCATGTCATCCACTTAGCATTTATCACACGGACTTCTATCCAGGTTATTTACAAGAGGGACAACAGAGTCAGTGGGCCACGTCTCATTCACCCTTTCCTGTTCAGATTACAAAAGTGTACATCGAAACGGGAGTAAGAGGCCATGCGGGAGGGCGTGTGGCACAGTTTGGTGCCGGCTATCGCAGAGTGCAGTTGTGTCGCTGCAGTTCTCTGCGGTGAGTACAACGTCTTTACAGACCCCAGAACGACGATGATGATGATGCCGAGGCGAGCCGAACCCTGACCAGGATGTGAACTTGTACAAGAGCTGAGCACTTTGACCAGTGCAGGCCCTCGGCCAGTTCAGAATCAGGATATTAGTTTATACTGAAGGAATCTGATGAGCCGTAAAGCTCTTTTTTCATAGATGTCCAATTACGACCGTCACGATTCGAACAGCCCCAATCAACGAGCGGTAGATATGAATGAGACCGATAATCAACACCTTCAACGTCGAATCTAGCCATGTGAGAAAACGTTCTTGGGAGTTCAGAGTTCGTGACCACATTTTTACTGCGCTTTGGAAAGAACTAAGATTCGGAAAAATGACTGGCATACGACAGAAATAGGTTTCCGCTGTCGCCGAGTAACAAACATTTTAAATAGAGTAATAATACGAAAGCATCACGTAGAAATTAATATACACAAAGCCTGCATGGTGTTCTGAAATTGCAAACCTAAACCACATACAATTTACTCGTTCTACAGCCTACACACAACAGTGACCCGAAAGCTATAATAAGACAGTTGCGCTCATTCGGCAAACGAAACTGATTCGCTCAACGACGTATGCATAGGATCGCGTGCGTAATAGTCAATGAACGATGTATGCAAAGTATATACGTAAATATATCAGAATCGAGTCAAAAGATCAAATCGGACCATGCAAAACGATTCGGTCCAGAACAAGATGGAACGAGCAAGGCTGCTCACCCGTACGAAAGCGCGAGGCACTAAAACGATTCTCCACTCAAAATTGAAACCCCAAATTGTGACGGCTCACCATTAAGAGTGGGCCAATCGTTCCACGCCTCTTTCCCTATAAAGTGTCACATCTACCCTACATAAATACTGCATCGCTCTGTAACACACAACACTACCCCCCCCCCCCCCCCCCATCGATCGACCCCTTTATAATCTTTACAATCAAAAATCTTTAAAAGTTACTTTTAAAAATGACTCCGTATATCTTTCAATATGTTCAGGTAAATTATTAAGTGACGTCTTGGAGGCGGGCTCGGTGGATAACGCTGCGATGAAGTAATTAAGGGACACCCAACGGCATATGGCAACGAGCGGGAGATACCTGTGAGAGTCAGTACAGAAAGTAGGTTACCAACAGGCGACCTGATTTGATTGTGACCCCATCACGTGAGTGGATTTCTCCAGACTCTCCCGTTGCCTCCCAAACAACAACACTTAAAACATCATGAACAGGACCCTCGTGAAAACGAGTCTCAATACTCGACGAGGTGTTCCCTGGGTAAACAACAAGTAGTGACATTAATCTACCAAGGCCATTGCATTTCTCCCTCTTTCAAGGTAAGAGGCGCTGGCCGTGCAATTGCGCGCTCATGCCGCTGCTCCTGGGAAGGGCCTCCAACGCATGGGACTCTTAAGACGCCCCCGCCCCCCCCCCCCCCCGAAGGGTATTTGGCCTTCTCTTCCACGCTGGCCAGACAACTGGGAAGAGGTGGGAGTCTACCCACACTTTAACCCAACCATACGCGATCTGCTGGTCGACTATCTTCTGCCAATACGAAGCCGACACATTCCTTGAAGCCGACTGGCGACACGACTAAGGTGCTGCCTATACAGCAGACACGTGGAACAGCGGAGCCCAAGGACAGTCTGAAGAGAGACTTTAAATTGGTCTTTTCCCCTGGCTAATTACCCTGCAGGTTATGTTTTGTTTTCCTGCATTGGGATCTACGGATGAAATGCCCCTTACAAATGTAAAGTATTATTATTAGACGATGGTGCGGGGCACTGAGAAGATTTTGGCAGAAAGGCTTTACAAACCAAATCGTCACTTAACAAGTCTCCGTCCTCTTTACAAACACAGAGGGCTGTGTACCGCTCCTTCGGAGCCGTGAACTTGGTTTTGTTTCATGCCCTCGGGACAACATCCAAGAGCGTTAAAACAACGTGAACGATAATCGGTAATATCTGCATTTCTTATCGCATTTTTCCAAAAAGTTTCTTTTAACAAAAAAATCACATTAAACTCGTGCAAACAAGTCATCTCTCCATCTTCCCATCGAACGAGAGAGATAATACAATTACAATAAATATATCTTTTTAAAACATTCGGGTTCTGAAAATTGTGGGTCGGGGATTCAGAAGGAGCAAGGGTTGTTAACATCAGAGGGGGAAGACACACCGCAAGATCGGAATTCCATGCGGGAATGTGAACGTTACGGACTTAAAAACGGCCAATGAAGCTACTCACTCACGTGTGCTTTCAGGCAGGAAGTAGCACGACTACGACTACTATTACGACGACGTAGAGGTGGTCACGATTGTGCTGCCATGTTGCCTCTCCGATGATGGATTTCCGGGTCGTACTGTACATTGGTGTTGCTTGGCACGACGTCCGACGTTTCGCGCCGCGTGCTGGGAGCTTCGTCAGGAACTCGACGGAGGAAACACTGGCGGTTCTAGCGGCAGCAGCAGCAGCAGCGCGCGAAGCAGCGACGCTTTTCTTTTAAACCGTAAAAGAATATGAGCTGCCACCATTCGGTTCCTGAAGAAGCTCCCAGCAGTTGCAGCGATATGTTGAACAACGCGCTGAATGCGCAGTACGAGCTGAAAGCGCATTCGAGAGGGATTAATACTCCTATTGTTACACATTGGGGAGAATGGATGGAAGGGGCCTATGTCATTCAAGCAGTGCACGAGCCACCAGCCTCTTCTCGCAGACACCATGGTCAAATACATCCTTGGAATTCCTCTCTATGCTCGAACAACAAATCTACAATGAGTTGGCAGTCGAGAGTAGGAAATGTTGGTGGCATTGCAACCTGCCAACAAGACTCATGACGATCGCGATGTTAGCGAGGATGAATTCGACGACGGTTAACACCATTTCTCTTTCAACAGCACGACTCGGGAATGAGGCCAAGTGGTGCAGAGAGGGAAGTTTCATGGCAGGGGCTCGGGGACACGGTCCAGAATAACGACTGTTTACCCGCGACCAACTCCTAGAACCCAAGCAGGGTGGGACCTGGTTAATATTTGAATCGGAGACTGCCTGGTTATACGAGGTGTCGTAGGCTCAAGATGGACGAGACGGGGACACAGCAATGGGCTTAATCTATCTGCGCTTAAGGCTTGCGTGTTATCTCCTCGAATGGTTGGGTTTTCTCCAGGTACCCCGGTTTCCTCTCAAATGCCATTCACTCATTATTGGAATTGGCCAAACATCCCAATTCAGGACCTTTCTGAAAAAAACGTCATAACACTCAGCGAGGTTTTCCTGAATCGAGGGCCTTATTGAATACACTTCCAAAGAGTGTGCGCAATTTCTCGGATATATAAACTGATCACTATCTCTTGATCTCTTCCCATGCTTCTCTGCGGAGCCTCATACCTCCATCTGCAACATTTCCCACATTCAGTCTTAACATTCTGGTTGAGGATTCGACCCAGGAAAAAGGGTAAATGGTGCTCGGTATAACCTCAGGGCTAGGTGTTATGAATAAACCAGTGAGACAGACAAAAGTATCGTCTCTGGACCCAGAAAAAATGATAAACTAGTGTTAGGTGTAATACGTGAGAGCGAGAGACAGACCGAGGGCTAGAGAATGCGATGAATATTAATGTTGGGCATGCATTGAGAAGTTTGTGGCTTCGGTCAGGCAGCAAGGATCGCGAGATGAGGTGACCACTCAGGCTGGAAGTTGTGCCGGCTAAACAACAACGAACGTGGCTCAACGAAATCAACCTGGAGGCTGTGACAGGCAGCGGCCAGAGCCGACAATAGCCGGCGCTCCCCCACACTCCGTGTCGGGGAGCAGCGAGCTGCAACAGATTGCTTCTGGGCAGTACTCCCTCGTTATTCACCAACTCGCTAACCGCGATTTTGGCTATCCGCTAATCGCGTCTGGAACTCTACATGACTGCGGCATGGAGGGAGAAAGTGATGCGATAAAGTTACGGGACAAAGCGGTGAGATAATTTGATAATGAAGTTCATATGAAACTATTTAGATGTATTTTTATTTACTTTATGATCAATTATTTTTTTGTTATGATGTTCATGTATTTAATAGTTTATTGATGTATTTACTTTAGGGAAATAATTCAAAACATAGGTTTTCGTAGAGCCAATATCTTTATCCCAAAAAATGTGCTATTCACTCGCATCTCCGGAACATATCCCCTCGCGAAGAACGAGGGGATAGTGTACTCCGATTACCGTATATCATCAGGTCACAGGGGCAGAGCACAAACCTACCGGTTGCCGTTTAAGATTGCTTTGTATTTTGTTCATGCTGAAATTATTCCAAATTAAACAGGAGGGGGGAGGGGGGGTCACATCGGCGGCCTGGGTTCACGCGGGGTCAGCGGTGTCGAAGAGGGCCGATGTCTCTACGGCTAAATCCACCAAAGAAACCTCACAGCCTCCCTGCTCAAACGAGCACGGGGCAGCGCTCAACTCTGTTGGCAACAGTGGTGAGATGTTAACTACCTCGCCTGGTATACAGGAGGTTGTGGTTCAATCTCGACCCTGACAAATGGATTTTTTCTCCGGATCCTCCGGTTTTTCCCTCCACATTTATAAAGATCAGTTTAAGAGTATTTGGCTGCTATAAATGTGCACGTGATCAGCCACTTCGTTGAGCTTCTGAAAAAGAGCTATTTATATTTCAGTGGGCTTTACCTGGTAATATAAATATAGCTTAGCTAGCTTAGCTTAGTTCAATTAGTCAACATTTTACATTTTAGTCAGTCTCCATCTGTGGAATTTACATTTAGTCAAGACTACTACATCTCTTGCCATCATTCTCTTCGCCTAGTTGACGAAAGGAGTCAAGCTTCAGTCAAATGCTCTGCACTATTAAAAGCTGTTGTGAGGTTCGTGCCGTTCCTCCACTGCTCAGCCAATCGATAAACTCAGCAAATTGTTCTCTACGGGGACTCTACTTACGAACGAGTTAAGTTCCAGAGGTCTGTTCGTAAGTCAATTTGCTCGTAAGTCCAACTTTACTCCTGTCGATTCCAAACATTTTGTACAACATGTACAACATGTTTGGGGGATGGCTTTAAAATGTGTATAATCTCCTGTAGATGCCACTGGTTCTTCATGTTCTGCAGAAGTAGATGCCACCACCGCCACCTATTGCACGGCAGTTGAACACACGACTCTCGATTCGAACAGGCAACTCAACATATGGACAGGTTTGTTCGTATCTCTGAAAGTTCGTTAAGTCGAATGTTAGTAGAAGAGTCCCTGTACGCAAGTCTATAGCGTCTGACATTCGGGCGAGTTCATGAACGAAGCGAGGGAGGGGGGGAGAAACGATCGTGACTGCGCCGTGCACGCGCTTTGGTCAGCGGCACTTTGGGTCTCTGGTGGGGTGGCCGCCGTTTCGTCCGCTCGCGGTCATCGTTGACTAAAAAATAAAACACCTGTTTCACGAGTAATTTCGTCACTAATTTCGTGAACAAGGTCAACAATCGACTGGCAGCCTTGGGCCGTAGCAGAAATTCTACATTCCTATAAACGGGGACAAATCTCTTTGCTGCAAAACCACCGTTGACGTTGCGGTAGTAATTACATAGAAAACTTTAAAAGGACGACATACTCGGGCAAACCTTTCAACCGGGATTTGAACTTGCGACCTCCTGCTCGGGAGTTGAGCACTGCAACCACCGTGCGACCCCACCCACCGATTTACATCTCACCCCAATATCGGTTCATCTTAAGAAAGCAATCTCAATCAACCAATATTAACTATGAGATTACATTCCTGTAAAAACCACAAAATGTGGGTTTATATTGTTAAACCCTCGAGTAATCGGTAATCAGAGTACTTTACTTTTCCAAAGTGTCACCCTCCCGGCACTGCGGCGTGTGGCCACCGTTCATCAGCTGAGGTTGTAACCGACGCTGGGCCCTTTGGGCCTTTGCGTGGCGCCGACGGGATCGGAGCGGCCTCCCGCCGGCCCTCCTCCTCTTTCCCCGCTAGCGTCAGCCCCGGGTGCCGGACTCGGGATCCAACTCATGCCCTGCAGGGTGCGGCCACCCGTGCCGCCATCCAGGGCGGCGTGCGCGTTCTCGCTGACGAAGGCTGCGCGCGCAGAGTGGGAAAAAGCAGAAACGACGATCACCGCCACAATCGGGGTCATCATCATTTGTCATGTGCAACTTTGCAGGTTCATGCTCACAGCAGCGGCTTTTGGGCTGGCCATCGAACAAAGACGGTGACTGCATCGCGCGCTTTCGGGTGTGCTTCTGTGGCCGTCTGGAAATCTCTTCCTTCTGATATTGGGAAGCCACTGGAGCAAGACACTTTTAAATCTAGCTTGAAATCGAATTTCTTTAAAAATGCTTTATGTTTAAATGTCGATTTAAAGCTTTCATGACTGCAGGGATTCATATTCTTGGTTCTTTCGGTAAAGTCACGTAGAAGGGAAATAACAATTTATAGTTTTATTTGATTTCTACGCGACTTTACCGAAAGTACCAAGAATATGCTTTGTGTTTAGTTTGTTGTCCTTCCCCTGCACCTTCTATTATCACCATTAGCGACATACGGTGCAAAAGAAGTTTAACATGCATATGTACATCAGGGCTGTGCAACCCTGGCCAGATTTATAGAGAACTTGACGTCTATGATTTCTTACCAGCTGAGCAGATTGTAAAAAGTCTCGCAAACTATTAGTTGAATAGTTTGGTTGAGTCACTGAGAGCCAAGTCAGAATGAAAACCGAGGACTGGCTTTGTGCATCCCTGGTGTTAATGATAGCGACACCGTCATTGCTGTTACTGTTGTCATCATATTTAACCCTGCTGCAGATGTGATTTTGATGTTTTACCTACGTGACTTTACCGAAAAAACCTAAGAATAAGATGTGAGTGAATCATCAACTTCATCATCATCATCACAACCGACACACATGCACACTGCAACATTATCACAGTCATCATCAGCATGATCAGTGTATATCCGAGTCCACATAACGACCACCGTCATCATCTTCACCACCACCTCTAAAACTGCACATGATTCAACATCACCATCATTATCATCACTGGCACACGTACACGAGTCTGCAAGAACACCACTGCCATCCCCGATATCATCACCTCAAGGGCACACAGGCAAGTCTGAACCACGAATCATCATCGTCGTCATCATCGCCACTGGCATCATAGCCCTAAAGGTTAATCGCTCACTCACACGCTGATCTCACTGTGGTGTGATCCACCAAAAGCACATCGCATCCAGCAAACACGCAGTTAACACGAAGGGGGGGGTCAAGGGTCGAGGGTAAGGTTCAGCAGAAGCAGCAGGGTGCTGAGGTTATACCTGAAGGCGCGACCTTTCGCCGTCTCTTCACGTCCTCGGCGCACAACGCACCCAGCGTGACGCTCACCTGTCTGCCTCACACACAGGTGTATGCCGAGTCAGCATAACCCCTCCGCCGTGCCCATTGCATCTATGTCCGTGTGTTGTGTGTGTAGATACATGCGAGTGTGTGCGCACCTGTGGGTTGGGGGATTGTCGTAGGGATTTCAAATCGCTACAAACACGGCAACCTGTGTTCAATTCCCGCTCACGGCCAACATCGGTGATGAATATCTGAACCGATCCTGGGCCTCCTCTAGGTCAACTCATCCTCAAATGAGGACCTGGTGCGGTGTGTAAAAATCGTCACTAGGGAGACAAAGGCGGCCAGGCAAGGTGCTAGCCACTCATCCCCCGGTGTGCGGTGCCGGCGTTCATAGGCGCTCACGAGTTCGTGTGTGTACACGTGTCTCCGTGTGCTTATGTGTGCGTGTTTGTCCTCATAGGCGCTCACGAGTTCGTGTATGTACACGTATCTCCGTGTGTTTATGTGTGCGTGTTTGTCCTCATAGGCGCTCGCGAGTTCGTGTGTGTACACGTGTCTCCGTGTGTTTATGTGTGTGTGTTTGTCCTCATAGGCGCTCGCGAGTTCGTGTGTGTACACGTGTCTCCGTGTGCTTATGTGTGCGTGTTTGTCCTCATATGTGAACTTGCCGAGAGTTGTGAATGGCGTCCCCTCGGACGTCAAGCGAGTAGAGAGCACCAATGTGGCTCAACTGCTGAAACGCACCAAGACAACACGAACAGCAACGTTTGTATGATCACGTTAAACCTCCGATACAAACAACAATGCCAATATCAAGTGGAACATCAATACCAGCTGGGACACAGTGATCAATAGGATCATAGCACAAACAAGACGGTTAATCTATTAAATAACTCTGAAGTGTCTCTATGTTTAATAAGCCGGCAGCAACGCTCGGCTCCCATTAGCAATGCTTTGCCGGCAGGTGGAAATTCCACGGTCCTCTGGTGGGGATCAGTCTCTCCGTAGGACTAAAACTGTTTTCCCACAAGGCGCATGGTGGAATTGACGCCATGCTATAGCCTATGGAGCTCGGTGCACGAAGAGGAATTTGAAAATTCATGAAGGCAACACACCGTTCCGTAGTTGGGATGCTCGGGCAAGAGATGAGAATGAGATTGTTATTATTTAGAGTGGCAGATTTCAACCGCTTCTGATAGATATTGCTTTGGTCATACGACGACATCAGAGCATCTGGTTGTTGTCTGTGTACATGTGCGACTCCATTTCACAGGACCCCTGGCCACATGAGACCTACCACTTCAAAATAGCCTGCAAACGAGGTGTATCCATCACTGCAAGCACCTCAGCTACTCGTCATAAGAAGGCAGTACAGCAAAGCGTGGACTAATATCGTCTCTTCTATATGGGATTGAGCGTTGCCCTCTCGCGCACGGTGCTCCGCTTCTCTCCCACACGTATTAACACTCATGAGTTGGCTGAAAATATCTTAATACGTAGGAAACCACAGAGCTTCAACAACTGTTGGTGCTGGCTCACTGCCTAGCTGCGGCTTTCCCCGATTATCTGTGGTTCCTCGTGCCCACGAGTCGTTCTCTCCCGTCGTCGAGAGTGAGCGCATGATATACGTTCAAATAATTATCACTTGGTAACCGTGTGAGCAAGAGAGAACCAGTCGGAGGCATCACATTCGCGAGGGTTATGCGAACCCTCATTATAATTCACGTCCTGCATGCTAACGCGTAGCCCCGCAGAAAGGAAAGTCTAGTTCGGTACTTCGGAAAGCAAATAGTTTGACCCAACCCTTGATTTGAGAAGCCAAAGGCCGGACGGACTTAATCCGGCAACTCACCTGGTTCCTGTCCTTGCGGCCCAGGGGGTATGGCCAGCACCTGAGCGAGAGGGGACCCGGCAACCGTATGACGAGTACAGCGATGGATGCAAGGCCATCATATGTGGAACCCACGCAAGCGCGGGCACACCAATGACAATGCGTGTCCACGTGTGTACAGCTGTGCACACGCAACAATCAATCCCTCGTATAGCCTAAACAGACCGTAGGAGCAGGTGCTGTTAGCGAGCATCTACAAAGGCCAGCACGGCACACGAGTGGGTGGGTGACCAGCAACACGCCCGGCCGCCTTTGTCAGCCGAGTGGAGATGTTTAGACACCGCACCAGGTACTAATTTGAAAGCTGAGTCGACCTAGGGGAGGCCCTGGATCGGTTCAGATAATCGTTACTGGTGTTGGCCATGACCGGGAGTTGAACTCTGATCGCCGGGTTTGGAGCGTAGCGCGCTAACCACTGCACTACCGCTCCCCGCTAGACTGTGTGCACACAGACTGACGCGCACGTATAGGCCAACGTGTACACAAGCCATATGTACATGCAGTGCCCGTTTGTCAATCCACTGCTAGATGAGGTCCGAGAGCCTACCAAACACACCATGAGGGTCGTGGAGATTATATGACCATACTTCACCACTCTCTTCAGCAGGGATAGCTATATGGGGGTGAAGGGGCCCGGGGCAAATTCAACCGTGTGGGCCCCCCCCCCCCCCCCCCCCGAGGCCTTCAAACTAAACCAGAAGTAAATTTTGATTTAAAGCTTTCGTGACTGGCTGGGATTCATATTCTTGGTTCTTTCGGTAAAGTCAAGTAGAAGGGAAACGATAAAATAAGAAAAAAATAAAACAATTAAATTATCACGACGTTTCGACTGCAACACAAGCAATCATCATCAGGTGTGAAATCCACAGCAAGAATTTTTTTTTGTTTTATATTTTTATTATTTTATTGTTTCCCTTCTACGTGACTTTACTGAAAAAACCAAGAATATAAACCAGAAGTACTACATCTGACACCGTGACGTTGAAGCGCGGGGCTCCCCAAAGCGCGGGGCCCGAGGCGGTCGCTCCGATTCGTCGTGAACCCCGGGACGACTTTGCTCGTTAAGCCAAGTTGGTGTCGGTGGGGAGTGTAGACGTGGGGGAGGGCATAGAAGTAGAGTACAGTAACAGTGGCTACCCATCAATGCACTCATCCAAACATGTTGTGGGCATTTAGCTTCATGTGCAAGGTGCAGATATGACTTTGTATTCGTTGCCTCCAACATTCAACTCCTGCCGACGATATCATCTCTTGCATTTATTTCCACGGCAAAACAACCTCCATAACAAACTCAACACTGCTTGAAATGACTGAGTGCGATTTCTTCCGATCGTCCTGTCTACCTCATTTCGAGGTTCCTTGTATCTTACACCTACGTTAGTCATTGGTGGTCGTGTCGATTTGCTTCCATACACTTACAAGTCCCGGTTCAAATTACTCTCACATTGCTGAGATGCTTTCATCTTGCTGTGCAACTGCACACATTGCTGTACCTGCTTCTGTCTGTATCAACTGGGTTCTAACCTGGGATTAGTCACGGGCTCTCACCTGGGATAGATACAGGCTCTCACCTGGGATAGGTACGGGCTCTCACCTGGGATAGACATGGGTTCTCACCTGGGACAAGTACGGGCTCTCACCTATTATAGATACAGGCTCTCACCTGGAATAGGTACGGCTCTCACCTGGGATAGACATGGGTTCTTACCTGGGATAGGTACAGGCTCTCACCTGGGATAGACATGAGTTCTCACCTGGGATAGATAAGGGCTCTCACCTGGGATAGGTACCAGTTCTCACCTGGGATAGACATGGGTTCTCACCTGAGATAGGTACGGGTTCTCACCTGGTTGAACAATGATGTGTGTAGGCAGAGTGACGTGGCTGCTTGTGTAATAACTCGGCACGCTGTACGATGCATCAATTCATTGACTAAAATCCCTTCCCAGGCTCACAATACATGCATCGCATCAGGCATGTCAGAATGGATTACGTCTGATCCGTTCGTGTAGCAATTGATTCATAGCCAATAGGGGCCCCTACGTTCGCCACGATGTTACAAAATAATCAATCCCCAAATCAAATCTTGATTCGTGATCGTGACAAATCAAAGGGGTGAATTGTTACGAGCCGAAGATTAAGGACACAAAACTGTGTGTGCGAAATGATTGGATTTGCGAACATCGATAGGAAATTACTGCTAACACCATCATGCATATACACTCACTGGGTGTGGGTGATCGATTGGTCACGATGGACATGTGATGGTCGGATATGCGGCGCAGTACTTTCATAAATTCCTTAATCCAGACAACACTGAGTGAGTCTCTGGGTTATTTTATGGAAGGGGTTTCTGCATTGCGATGTTTGTGCCAAATATCCAGAGAAAATCCAAACAACAGAGAAGGTTTAACCTTCAGACCACAGCGGCCAGGTACGCACACTCTGGCAAACTATTGTGTCGCACACAAGCTCTGATGTTACGCACACAAGCTATGTCGTGTTGATGTTCCTTAATCAAGGTGGAGCCAGTACAACACAGTTATGTTGCTGGTACAATAATATTGTGATCATTGCACCTGTCAAAAATAAATTTGCCTTTCACATGTAGACAACATAGGTAACAGGTTTTTGTAATCTCAAGATCTGTTGTAGGTCGTACAACTCTTGCTTACTGTGTGAATTTCAAATTCCGGCTCACAGCCTTATACTGCCCGCAACAATTCGATTACCAGGAGCTCCTATAATGCAATGCCGCCATTCTCACTCTTCCACACACGTACGCGCACACGCACGCACACGCAAGACTTACTCGCGAGGGTGAACGTCCATGGAGTGGTGTGCCATCCTGTCACCGCCCACTCCACCAATGCCAGACAACTGTATTGGAACACACACCCACAGACACACGGAGAGTCCGTTTAGCCTTCAAGATTAGGGGAAAGTGCCGTTAGCGAGCGCCGTTTAAGGCTGGCACCGGCGAATGAGACAGTGGTGTGGCCAGAGCCATGCACACCCAACAGCCTTTGTGTTGTGAGTCATGATGTTTACGCAATGTACCACACAGTCACTCATTTAAGGTCGCATCAACCTAGGGGAGGCCCAGGACTGGTTCAGATACCACTTGGCACTTATGTGCACCGTGGCAGGGAATTGAACTCAGGCAGCAGGGATTGTGGCACAGCGTACACTGCTTCTCCCACACACATGATGACGTTGATGCTGGTTTTAATGATGACATTTTATAACAATTTGGCTTTGGTGGTGGCCAACCAACGTTGAGTCAGAATCGGGGGAGGGGGGAGAAAGTTTGGGGGCAGAAGATTATTTCAGGGACTGAAATATGAAATTCCAAAGTAACAGTCGAATAAAATACTGCATCTACACACATGAGATGCGGTGAGAGAGAGCGAGGCAGTGTGTGTGTGTGGTGCGCGCACGACACTGAGCCTGCATTAACGGCTGCCGTAAAGTGCTCGCGATTAAGCGTCTGATGATAACGGGACACTGGCGATTGGGTTAAAGAGTCCCGGGGTGGAGGCGCATCGATAGGTCGGCCGCCGGGGTCAAACAGCCGGGGTCAAGCCATCAGCGGTGGCGAGATGCCCCACCGTGATTGGGTATTAGCGGAGGGGTCTGGGCTGTGGCCGTCAGGCCAAAGCCGACACTAAGCCCGTGTGTAAATACTGCAGCCCTAATCTCCACTCTTCCGGCAAGTGTGAGCCGTGGTGCAGTGCTTCACAGAGTGTACTCAAGCTGGGGTCCATCCAAACCTGGGTTCGATTGCTGGTCGTGAAGCGCATCTTCACTCGCAGGAAGTTGGTGTCTGAACTGAACGCTGCCCTAGGCCTCCTACAAACCAACTCGCGTGGTGTGCTGCAGGCTGATGGAGTGTGTGTGCGTGGGATGGGGACGTCTGTGTGTTTGTGTTATGTGGTTGGTTGCCGCAATGCTATACAAGCCGGCGACCCCGGCACGATACCCACTCATGGCCAATATCAGTGACGAATATCTGAACCAGTCCCGGGCCTTCCCTAGATCCACTCGGCCTAACATGAGTACCTGGTGCAGTGTGTAAATGCAACACATTCGTTAAAAACAGTGCATTAAAAGAAAAAATATATAACAGACGATGTTTTGTGCAATGGCTCTTCTTCATAGCACATAAAGGCCAGAGAGGTAGAGTGGATCAGTGTTGGAGAATGCACATTATTCCAAGTGGCCCTCCTGAAAGAGTTTTGAGACCGAGCAATGCTATCGTAGGTATAAAAGCGACGTAATAACGCTCTTCATTGTCTTTCAATGCGACGAGTTTGCCTTCAGGCGAAGACGCGAGCCATAAATAAAGTAGCGTGACCAAACCAAGCCTGTGTCCTGAACTGACACGGAGTTTGAGTCACCGTTAATGAGAACAGAAGACAAGTAAAATTGATGTTTCCTTTAATGGCAGGTGGCTGGGTGATCCAGAGGTCAGAGCACTGAGCTGGCAACAGCTGAGACCAGGGTTCGAATCCAGCCTGTGATTAAACCAGGTTCGTAAGGACAGTCAATTGATGCTCTTGGCCCATTCATCAATGCCTGTACACTGAAAAAAACATCCCATTCAATTTGGTTCTGTGCGTAGTTTGGCTACATTCTAAATCTGGGAATTGAACGTATCGGGTTCACTGTCCGGGTGGGAAAGCGTTACCCCCTGGTGTGGACCAGAAAACGTAGAAATGATCTCAAGAGGAAGCTTCGTGATATCTGCTTCCTCGGACCGTGCTGTGTAGACCAGAGTGTCACTTAAAGAAAAGGGATGTCACAACTAGCTCTGTGATATCCGCTTCAGTGGGTCGTTCTGTGTGGACCAGTGTCACTTCAAGAATCAAGGGATCTCAGAATCAGCTCTGTGATATCCGCTTCAGTGGGTCGTTCTGTGTGGACCAGTGTCACTACAAGCATCGGGGATCTCAGAATCAGCTCTGTGATATCCGCTTCAGTGGGTCGTTCTGTGTGGACCAGTGTCACTACAAGCATCGGGGATCTCAGAATCAGCTCTGTGATATCCGCTTCAGTGGGCCGTTCTGTGTGGACCAGTGTCACTTCAAGAATCAGGGATCTCAGAATCAGCTCTGTGATATCCGCTTCAGTGGGTCGTTCTGTGTGGACCAGTGTCACTTCAAGAATCAAGGATCTCAGAATCAGCTCTGTGATATCCGCTTCAGTGGGTCGTTCTGTGTGGACCAGTGTCACTACAAGCATCGGGGATCTCAGAATCAGCTCTGTGATATCCGCTTCAGTGGGCCGTTCTGTGTGGACCAGTGTCACTTCAAGAATCAGGGATCTCAGAATCAGCTCTGTGATATCCGCTTCAGTGGGTCGTTCTGTGTGGACCAGTGTCACTACAAGTATCGGGGATCTCAGAAGCAGCTCTGTAATATCCGCTTCAGTGGGCCGTTCCCGAACACAAAGGGCTCCACCGCTCCGTGATAGATCTGAACAGATAATTTTATCTCGCGGCTCGGCACTCGACAGCGCGGTTGCGATAACTTTGTGGAAAATTATAAAGAGAATGCAAAGTTACGGTGAAGCACATCATTAATGCGCGGATCACCACGACGACTGCCACGACGCAAATGCAGTGATTTCACGAAAGCGCCAGATCTTTCTGAATAACCGAGCTTCAAACTCACGTCAGCCAGCCCGGGACGCGCAGCCTCAGCACGCAAACCCCCAAAGAGCAGTCTGAATTGACGGTGCTGCATCTTCCTTTTCAAGCAAATGAAGCCAAATGGTACGAGCGAATCAATAATTGTCACCCGCACTTCACCAAGCACATAGCAGTGCAATCTCAACCCCACAATGCGAAACAAACTCCCGTTGCTGCACATGAAAGAGTTAAGGGAGGTATGAGAGGGGCATTCTTTTCCCCCAGTTTAGTGCTCAGAATGACTGGTGGGGGGGGGGCTGGGGTAGATTCAGCGTGGATCAATGTTTCTCTAGTAAGTTGACCTTGAAAGAGGGGGGGGGATTTGTGGGGGAGAGGAGGCGGAGGGAAGAGGTGCAAGTGAATACGCACACACACACACAAGGATGTACACACATACAAATACACACACACACAAGGATGTACACACACAAGGATGTACACACACAAGTAGGATGTACACACATACAAATACACACACACACACAAGGATGTACACACACAAGTAGGATGTACACACACACACACAAGGATGTACACACACACACACAAGGATGTACACACATACAAATACACACACACACAAGGATGTACACACACAAGTAGGATGTACACACACACACACAAGGATGTACACACACAAGTAGGATGTACACACATACAAATACACACACACACACAAGGATGTACACACACAAGTAGGATGTACACACACACACACAAGGATGTACACACACACACACAAGGATGTACACACATACAAATACACACACACACAAGGATGTACACACACAAGTAGGATGTACACACACACACACAAGGATGTACACACACACCCACAAGGATGTACACACATACAAACACACACACACACAAGGATGTACACACACAAGTAGGATGTACACACACACACAAGGATGTACACACACACACAAGGATGTACACACATACAAACACACACACACACAAGGATGTACACACACAAGTAGGATGTACACACACACACACAAGGATGTACACACACACACACAAGGATGTACACACATACAAACACACACACACACAAGGATGTACACACACAAGTAGGATGTACACACACACACACAAGGATGTACACACACACACACAAGGATGTACACACATACAAACACACACACACACAAGGATGTACACACACAAGTAGGATGTACACACACACACACACACAAGGATGTACACACACACACAAGGATGTACACACATACAAACACACACACACACAAGGATGTACACACACAAGTAGGATGTACACACACACACACAAGGATGTACACACACACACACAAGGATGTACACACATACAAACACACACACACACAAGGATGTACACACACAAGTAGGATGTACACACACACACAAGGATGTACACACACACACACACAAGGATGTACACACATACAAACACACACACACACAAGGATGTACACACACAAGTAGGATGTACACACACACACACAAGGATGTACACACACAAGTAGGATGTACACATACAAATACACACACACACACAAGGATGTACACACACAAGTAGGATGTACACACATACAAATACACACACACACACAAGGATGTACACACACAAGTAGGATGTACACACACACACAAGGATGTACACACACACACAAGAATGTACACACACAAGGATGTACACACACAAGGATGTACACACACAAGGATGTCCACACACAAGTAGGATGTACACACATACAAACACACACACACACAAGGATGTACACACACAAGGATGTACACACATACAAACACACACAAGGATGTACACACACAAGGATGTACACACACACAAGGATGTACACACATACAAATACACACACACACAAGGATGTACACACACAAGGATGTACACACATACAAATACACACACACACAAAAGACAAAGAACACCCATACAGATTTTTACAGACTGTTGGCGAAAGTGCTATTCGCAGCAGACACCTGTATGGTGTGGCCAGCAACATGTCTGGCTACCTTTGTCTCCCCACTTCTGATTTTCACACACTGCACCAGGTACTTATTTAAAGCCATGCTGACCTAGGGGAGGTCCAGGACTGGTTGATATATTACTTGCACCTTTGGGTGCAACTCAACCATGTATGACAACGGTCCATGGAAGTGGGTACCACTGAGCTAATGCCGAATCCATTGAAGTTACCTTCATCAGGGGGCACAAACGTTCTCACCCGCTTGGTCACCGAGAGTATGTTCATCGCGCGACAGCCAAATCAGTATACAGTAGAACCTCGGAGATCGAATGCACCAGAACTCGAACAAATCGGCGTTCGAACAAAATTTCCGAACATTTTTTGCCCCGGAAACCGAACGAAATTGAGAGGTCGAACGGCCAATCGCGACTAGAATAAACCTGTACGGCTGAGTCGCGTATAGCCAGCGTGCATGACACTTGCCCAGACAAAGGTTTTACCATATGGGAGGCAGAAACAAACCTCTTTAGATACGTTTTTAGTCAGAAAGAGCTCAAGTGACTCACAGTTAGTGGCAGAAAAGAGGCACACAAGAGAAAGAACCCCAGAAGGGCAGTTACCCGACGTTATTATGGAAGGGGACTCCTCTTCGAAACAATAACACCACCTCCTCCACCTCCTCCTCCTCACCACCTTCCACTCAAGCCATCAACTCTCCTTACTACAGGTAAAGTGAAGTTCAATGTTCATTTATTTCATTTATTAATTCATTTATTCCATCTATTTATTGTTTATTGTTTTTTTTTATGATTTTATGCATGTAATTACTGTAAACTTCGTGTAAACATGCTTTATAATGAGAGATTTCTTGTATCTGGAACCAATTAATGTCATTTACATTAATTCTTATGGGGAAAATTAATTCGGTGTTCGAACAAATCGGTGTTCGAATGGCCTTCTGGAACGAATTAAGTTCGATCTCCGGGGTAGCACTGTATATCATTCTCAGAGCTGTTTATTAATTAGTGAAAACCCAAATCTAATATGTCGGAGGTATTTTTTTTATGTAGTCATTGGTGATTGGGTTGAGACCATCGACTCAATACCACTTGAACACTCGGTTTAATCTGTTAAAACTATAAACTATGTATTTTCTACATTACCAGGTAAGGCCCACTGAGCTGTCTAACTCTTTTGCAGAAGAGACATGGACGCAAATGATAGGTCAACAAAGTGGCTTCTCATGTGGAACTTTACACCAGCCAAATATCCTAAACGCACGTTGATTCTAAATTTGGAGCGAAAAACCGGAGCACCCGGAAAAAAATCCACTCGACGACGGGGAGAGAGACACGCAAACTCCAAATATAGAGCAGGGCGTCAAGGTCGGGATCGAACCCACGACCTCCTGAATACCATGCGAGGTGGTTAATATCTCTTGCGTCTGCCTGGATTCGAACCCAGAGACTCAGCGGTGGGCGGCGGCGACGGATCGGTACTTTGACCTCTGAGCCACCCAGCCACCTACGGCGTCGTTTACAAAATAATAATTATTCCAAAACCAATCAAACCTTGCGTTATGTAAAGCACGGGCCGCCGTGCGGGTTAGTGGGAGCCCGGCTCGCCGAGGTGCCGCGAGGGTACGTTTGAAGGGTAATTTTGTGACCCCGGTCGAAAACTAATTTCATTTAATTTTTTTAAGCCTAAACAAAAAAAAAAATCAACGCTCGCGAGTGATTGCTGCTTGCAAAATTGATGGACAGGTTATGACGCATCTAATGTGGTTGCTTAGCAATGAACAATGAGCACTTTCAAGAATGTAAAGCACGAATGTAAATCCACAGGCATGCCAAAGACAAACACACATACACACGTATACAAGAACAAAGGCACCCATATAGTCATATGAACTGAATAGACAGGACCCCGTCAGTGAGCATCTATTGCAGATGGCGTGGCACACATGGGTGGGAAGATGTAGTGCACGATGCCCGTCCACCTTTGTTTTCCCAGTACTGATATTTACACACTCATTTACGGCCGAGTCAACCTAGCAGAGGCACAGGACCGGTAAAGATATCGCTCGGCATAAGTTGTTCACCATGACCGGGAATGGAACCTACGGTCACTGTGCTTAGATTGCAGCATGCTACCCACTACCCCAAGATAATAATCCCCTGTATAGCCTTAACAGGACGTTTGGAGCAAGTGCTGTCACCAAGCACCTATGAAGGCTGGCGCGGTACACGAGGGGATGGGTGGTCGGCATCACGCCCGACCGCCTTTGTCTCTTCAGTGGCGATATATTTACACACCGCACCGGGTACTCATTTGAGGCCAAGTCGACCCAGGGGAGGCCTAGGACCAGTTCAGATAATCGTCACTGGTATTAGCCGTGAGCGGGAATCGAACTCGAATTGATGGGTTCGTAGCGCAATGCGCTAACCGCTGCACCACCACTCCCCCCCACAGTGCAAACACGCAGGCGTACCGCTACATTTAAACAAGACTCAACGTACCACGCAGGTGCAGACACACACAAACGCACACATCATTTACACAAAACACATGCTGGAATCACGGAACCAAAAGAAATCTGCGAAAGCCATCTGGTCCTTCAATATCACAACCAATATATAAAGGATATTTTCACATTTTATACTTAGTGTAGGACCGAAGTAACTAAAACCTATTTCAAACTGAATAGAAAGATGCACTGGGTATCACAAATGAAATGCACATTTGTCCGTATTAGGTGCGCGCGCTTGACTAAGCCAAGCGGGGCGCTTCCGGGTGTTTCCTAGTGACCTGGGGGTCGATCTGAGAAGCCGCCGTATGAGCTCGGTGGCAGCTGGTTTAACGGTGACCTTCGAACTCAACCTGATGTTTGGCGTCAAAATTAGTGCCTCGAGCAATCCATCAGCACGGACGAAGAGAGATGTGCGCGCGAGCAGCCATACGTGCGAAAACGGGCAAGCGCTGAGACTACCCCCACCCCCCACCACCCCCCCCCCCCTGTTCGCAGGGCCGGGCTAGCCACCCGGGTTCCAATGCTAAACCCGATTCTCGTCCGATATTGGTAGCGGGAACGTTTGTAATGCGAGAGCGTGGAAGTATAAAAGATAATTACGCCTGCACAAACGCGGGGCGAAAACAATGGAGCACATTGGCGATCGTCGACTGCCCATCAAGGCCTTTGAACGACGCGGCACCATCGCGATTCAACAGCTGACAGCCAGCGCCGTTGAATGGCTAAATAACCCAAGCATCAATTTATAGCGAGTGTTTGCAATTACAAAAATCAGTTGCTTATCTCTGAAGCACACCACACAAGGGAAGAATGGGCAGTGGTGGAGAAGGTGGCTTCTAAACCTAATGTCCCGAATTAATTGACTACGCAACATATTCGGAAGTAAAGTAACATATTTCCGTATTTCAGGTTTTTAAAGTGATATAATTGAACTAGATACTTGTACGATTACGTTCTTGGAATTTGCGCGAATCATGTTGATTTAAATCCAGTCGGGTGGCACTGTGCGTGGAGTGCTTGATCACAATTGAAATTTCCCAAGTTTAATTCCTGGTCAGGGATCATCACTCCTGAGGTTGATAAAATGAGTGGCACCTTGTCGGGAGCTTGTAAGCGATTGAGGACATGAGCGAGTGAGCTAATGGAAGAGTGAATAAGCTTGTGAGTGGGATGATTTGGTGAGTGAATTAACACGTGAATAATTGAGTCAGCAGGCGACAGAGGGAGCATGTAAATGAGCGAGTGAATGTGTTTGTGAGTGAAGTGTGGAAGCGAGTGAGCAAGCACTCATTTATAGAATTAATGAGTGCAGGAGTGAATAAACGTGTGACCGAGCGAGTCAGAATCAGAATCTTTTTGTGTTTCGTATGCGAATGGCTTCGTCATTTTGGTCACCCAGGTAACTTTTGCAAATGACACTCATCCTTGTCGCCTCTCGAGTTCCCGCCTGGTTACACAGAGTAAACTTGGGATCACAATCAGAATCTTTTATTTTGACTGCAGGGGGAATCTGATGAACTATAAAGCTCCTTTTCACAGATGTCCAGTAGGGGCAGGTCAAAAAGTTACAACAACAAACAATACAAAAGTATAAGAAAGGTAAGAAATTCACTAAAAATATACATCTATGTTTATTTTCCCAGGTAAATGCAACTCAGCTATTAGCTTCGTTTTCAGCAGGGCGACCTGGCCACAAATGACAGTTCAACGAAGTGGCTTATCAAGCGGAAAACTTATAGCAGCCAAATAATCTCAAAGCATGTTGAGACTAACTAGTTAGATAGTGAGCGCTCAATAAAATGAGTGCGTGCGAGTCCGTGTGCGAGTGAGTGAGACAAGGAGTGATTGAATCATTGAGTGAATGCGCAAGTTGAGCAAGCGAGAGTGTAAGTGAATTGGCGAGTCGGTAAGCGTGTAGGGAGGTAGTAGCAAGCGAGCCAGGGGTACGGGTTGGTGACCGTCGCTCGTGAGTGATGCCGTTTGTGAGCACACCTTCCCGGGGAGACGCCTCCGCCCCTTCCGGATGCTCCGCGCCGCCACTCCCGGCAGGCGGCTCAATCGTGCGTGGAACCCTGACAGTGATGATGCACGCACACAAAGACAAAGATCCCCCAGTATAGCCTTAACACCGTTGGGGCAAGTGCTGTTAGCGAGCACCTATGGAGGCCGGCACAGCACACGAGGGGGTGGGTGGCCAGCACCACGCCAGGCCGCTTTTGTCTCTCCAGTGGCGATGTTTACACACCGCACCAGGTACTCGTTTGAGGCCGAGTCAACCTATGGGAGACGATTATTTGAGCGGGAATCAAACTCGGGTCGCCGGGTTCGGAGTGCAGCGCGCTAACAGCTACCCTCCCACTGCATGCACACACACACCGACTGTTGCGGCAAGTGCTGTTAGCGAGCACCTACGACGGGGTGGGTGGCCACGACCACGCAAGGCCCGCTGTCTCCCCAATGCTGATGCTTGCACACTCACTTAAGGCTGAGTTGTACTAGGGGAGGCCCTGAACCGGTTCAGATATTGGTTACCAATGTAAAATGTGCAAGAGGGGGAATTGAACTCGCAGTGGCGGGTTCGTAGCAAAGTGCACTAACCAGCACAATAATGCTCAACCCATACATGGACGCACACATACGGGTGCATGGAATAATTACATTTTTATCTCATTTAATGATTGTTTTGTTACGTACCATGTAACATAACTATATGTATTATTTCGCACGTGGGTGGAGGCATGCCAAAACCAGGATTCAAACCCAGGTATACAAGGCTCGCAGGGCGAAGGCGGCCCCCCTCCACTGCCACCCCCCCGCCCCCCCCATTAGCGCACAGCCCATGCCAGCGTAGAGGGCAGAGAGGAGACGGTGGTGGCGGAGGGCCTGGGGACGGAGCGGCGGAGCCTCCATGTGTTCCCCGACGGGGCCTGGATCACATCTGTAGTCGCTGGTTGAAGCCATCTGCCCCCTGTGCTGGTCTGCATAGCCGCGGGGGCCCAGGGTGCGCCGCTGTGCATGCACGTGTGCGCTGGTGTGTGTGCACTCACTCATGTACGACGATCACGATGATGATGACGACGATAACCACGCCGGTTACTCGCTATTTGAAAAATTTAAGCGTCTCTCCAATCAAAGGGGCAAGGGACAGAATTCGTCTCTGCTGGCGGTGCTGAGCCGGTGCTGAGCCGGTGGTGGAAATTCCACATTCGTGTGGCGGGCAGTCAGGGGGCGGTTTAGTTTCATAGGACGACCACTTTTTACATGGTGGTAGTTAAACTATCGGCTCATATGTACTGGCTCAGAACTGTTAGTGAAGATGAGCACCACCCAATACCTGCGACAGCTCCCCGTGTTAATGATGGTCATGACATCAGTAGATGATGTCTGATGCAGATGATAATACGGATTATGCTGCTGCCGATTTTAATGATGGCGATACAGATGTTGTTATTACCACACATTCAAGACCACCGACATGATGATCAGGATGATGGTGATGTCATCGCAATCACCATCGTCACCACCATCGTAGAGGGAAAGATGGGAGCCTTGACACGGCCCACGACGAACGCCATCAACGCGGCGACCAAACATTGATCGCCGATCTCCCGGTCACCCAGAGCAACGACACACCGTCATTGCCACTGCCGCCGCCTACCTCTGTGTCCCGTGCGGGAGAGCAGGGGGAATCCGCCAGCGAGGAGGCTGTGCAGGACGGGGTCTCCTGCGTCGCGGTGCGCCAGCGGGGCGTGCAGCTCCCGCGGCCGCTGCCACCATGGCGGCACGGCCCCCACGCCGGGGCCCACCTCGCGGTCCGTCTCGCCGAACCAGTCGCTCTGCTCGTCGTCGGCTGACGGGGGTCGGGAGGTGGGCGGCGGCACAGGGTGGGCGGATGGGGCAGGTGGGAGAAGAGGGGGGGGAAATGAGAATCGGCACACACACACAAAGACAAAGATCCCCCCGCTAGCCTTGTAGAAGGTTGCAGCAAGTGCTGTTAGCGATCATTTACGGAGGCCGGCATGGTGCACAAAAGGATTGGTGTGGCCAGCACCACGTCCGGCTGCTTTTGTTTCCCCATTGGGCCCGTTTATACACGACACCCAAGTACTCACACAAGGCTGAAACGACCTAGTGGAGGCCAGGACCGGTTTAGAAAATCACTCCCGATAACCACTCGCCACTGCTGTTAGCCGTGGTCGGGAAGATAACTTGGGTTTCTCGGTTGCTAGTGCAGTGCATGAAGAGCACGCAGCCACCACGTGCCCACACACTCGCAGCTCTCACCTTGCCGGCCCTCGTCATTGGTGTAAAGCCCCGCGTCGCTGCTGCCCAGACTGCTCGTGTCGCTGGTGTGAGGAGGTGAAGGTTTGTGGGAACAGATGCAGAAGTGACACAGAAGTTACCCAACATCATCACAAAAAGAATAACCTCCGTGCTCAATTTTCATGGGTCCGAGAGGCGCTCGTGGGTTATAACACCGTGGGATTACGAGATATGCCGACGGCTTGGGAAGTCCTTCATCCACCAGTAGATTAAGTATGGTTAAAGATTAACTTGTACTTTTACAAGTGTTCATGCACATGCGTATCCGTGTGTCCTGTCCGTTTGGCTTCACATTATGGTTTGATATAGAGTTTTTTCTTATCTAAATCTGATATCTGTGTAGTAACAGAAGACAAACACATTCCTGCGGAGGGAGCTGGTAGGAACGTTGGGTTGCTCGGTCAATGGCCAGGGTCAACGGCGGCGTGGTGTATTCCGCAAATATGCTCGACTGTGAGGGCGGGCACAAGCCGGCGTGAGTAGGTTAAACGTTGAGTTTTATAAGGGCACCACGGGGTGACCAGCCCCTCCTCACCCAGCCCCTCCCCACTCTCCACACCCAGCCCCTCCCCACCCTCCCCTCCCCACCCAGCCCCACCCTCCCCACACAACCCCTCCCCACCCTCCCCTCCCCACCCAGCCCCTCCCTGCACGACGGACACAATAATCCCCTGTGGGCTGGTGTAACCAGGAGGTTCCTACCAGTATGAGATAAGGCAAATAGTGCACGATTATTCAGATGAGACAGAAGGGAGTTATTAGGAAAGTTACACATTTAACAGCGACAAGAGAAATATGCACCGAATTAAAATCTTTATGAACAGTGTTCACCTTATCGCACTGTAATCTGCGACTACATATTTGCCATCACACATCTCTGTCTCACCTGGACCTATTTCCTCCAAATTCACTTAATTTCCAGTCTCTGCCTTTCATTATGAAAATCAACATTCCAATGTGCCCAGGAATGAATGTTTTGAATCGGTGTACGTGACCTGCTACGGCACATGGATCAGAAACATTAACACTGAAAAATGAAACGGGACTCAAAAGTGTGCAAAGTGTGGAAATATATAACGACTGACAATACATAAAGAGGTAATCACGGACCACAAATACAAACACACGCGTGTGAGATATATCATTTGGATGATTAACGCTTTCCCATTCATAAACGAATGCAACTTGCAGAGTGGGTCCCGTTCACTGCTGAATCTCGGAACGCGCGAGCGGTTGAGCGTTAATTTTATTTAGAGGCATAGCGCCGTTGTTTTTAAAGATATTGTCCTCACCGCAGAGAACTGTAGTTACAGGACTGCACTCTATGATAGCTGGTGCCAAACTGTGCCACACGCCTTCCCATACGGCCTTGTGGGAGCATTGGTATCGATAAAGTTAGTGGGGTTTTTTTTCTCCCGGTTCCATTTCGATGACGTACACGTACATTTCACCTGATGATGATTGCTTGTGTTGCAATCGAAACGTCGTGAGAATTTTATTGTTTAATTTTCATTATTTTATTATTTCCATTCTATGTGACTTTACCGAAAGAACCAAGAATATGACGTACACGTACTTCATCGGAACGGAAATCGGAAGAAAAACTGATGACGTGCCGTACGTCATCGGAATGGGAAAGTATTAAGTAAAGTGGACTTGGGCAGGTCACACTCATGGAAAGAAAGGTCGGTTACATAGCCAAGCGGTAGCGCGTTCGTCACTTGTTCCAGAGGTTTAGTGTTTGAATCTCGTGGCAGCCCTGGCTATTACGAGGGTGTTTTAATAACCATGAAAAAAAATCTGCTCCATCTGCTCTACAGTGAAAGTTAAAGATTCTGTGACATCATTCAAAGAGAAGGCCATCGTGTGCTCGCGTCATGGCACACATTTACCAAACATTAAAAATTATTTGCTAATTTCTCAAACGGAAAATACATTGTAATCAACGTCGCTCCGACTAAAAAAAACTTGCCAGAACTCTCCTGCAAAAAAGAATCATGATATTCCGTGAGGCTTTCCTGGGTAAACAAGTGTAGTAATAAAGATGACCGATAGATGTGGCAGGTGCCAGCATGGTAGGAAAGGAGGGGACACGTCAGAGAGGAGCTTCAGCAATGAGATCAAACTTGTGTGCAGGAGAGCAAGATCGGACTGTTGCATTGTGGGGAATGGTGGTGCATGGCTGACGACAGTGAGAATGATGAAAGAGAGAGATGCCCCGACAAGGCAGAGACATCCACCCCCCGGGCCCAGCACCAGCTGCCGTACCCGTCGCTCATGTTGTCATCCGAGTTCTTGTTGCCGTCGTCCTCCTCGCAGTCCATCCCGTCGCGCCCGCCGCTGGCGCCCGCCGCTTCACGCATCGCTCCTCCCAGCTCCGCGTCCTCCCCCGTCTCCACGACGACGCCCTCGTCAGTTCCCTCGGCCCCCGCGCCGGGGGGCCCTCTGGCCCCCCACTCGACTCCCACTGCCCCTCTGCTGCTGCCGCCGCCACCGCCGCTGCCGCCACCCCGTGCCAATCGCAGCTTCTTGTGGTGGCGCCACGCCGCCATGCCTGTACCAACAACAAACTCGCCTCGTTATTTCATCAGAATCATCAGCCATTGGCTATCCACTGCTGGATAGACAATGGCTGAAGGCCTCCCGTCCATCTCACACCGTCACCATAGAATTACAACACAGTTCGGGTTTATATAGCGTCTACAGACTACTCGCAGAGTGCCACTACACTTTGCAGGATACGACTCAATTGCTACAACTCCGCTCACGCTGTTTAAGGTGCAGTGTTTGACACATTCCGCCTCCTTGCACCGCGTCGCACGCAATGCCTGACCGATTGCAGCGCAGGACTCAGCTCCATCACAAGATGAGAGAAGATGTGCGCAGATGATCCCCACCTATCCCGAGTGACGTGACCACATGTACGTGGAGCACAAGACGGCTTGCTTCGCACATTTTGTGTGAAATCATTAGTAACGCTGACTCAAAGAGTTTACAAATGACAGAGTAATCATTCACCTTTGATTTGAGCCACACTCAAATATTTGATGCACCTCGAGTTAATGAGACAGAACGATAAACATGCTGAAAACGAGACAAAAAGAAGCGATCCTTGAACCGAATGGCCATGGGACAGTCACATGTCTCATCAGATTCAAAGCCATTTTCACTTACTAACTCCACTCATAGGCCGAGCTCAGGCAAAAAAAAACCAGGAATCGAAGATCCATTCATTTCCATCGGATTGGCTGGCAGCCACTTTAGCGGCACTGGGCGGCCGAGACCCGCGACGTTTACCCACGGAGTGTACCTAAGAGCAGTCCGGGTCCCATGTAGCCCCTGCCGGCCGATGCCACGGGGGGGCAGAAGGGTGGGTGCGAGCAGAGGGGGGGCTCGTTGGCGGTTGCCGTGGCAACGCCTCCCCGCGTGGTGAGGGTGGAGACGGCGGGGGGGTCGACGGCCATACGCTTGACCTTGCGGCGCCGGCGGGTGGTGCGTCCTGGGCCGCTCTCCGGGAACGAGTCCGACTCGTGCCTGCATCGGTGACCGAAGGTGCAACACGAGCGCCTTGAGCATGTGGGCAGTGTCCGTGTGTGTGTGCGAGAGTCTGTGTGAGTCTGCTGTGTGTGCGCTTCTATGGAGGAGGCTCGTGAAGGTCATTTGGAGGCAGTCGCCCTCCAACAACGACGAAGGGCAGAGGAGCGACGCTCACAACAACGAGCGGAGTGCCGGGTGGCTAAAAGGCAGAAAGTTGGCACAGCAGGGGGCACAGTTGGGTGCATCTGCCAGTCATCTCAGTCAATCAAGCCATGGCACCTGGGTCTGTCATGTGATCTCCTGTTAGCGGAGCCTTCGACACGTCATGTGGCCTCAAAGTGCACCTGGCCTAACAGAGGTGTCGTGGTGACGTCACCGTCACTTAGCGGTGAATGGCGGGTATTTGCATTGGTGTGTGCAAGTCTGCGTGTGAGAGGCGATGACTGGACGTGTGAGGAGATGCGTTGCATTGCACCGCAAGAGAACGTCGCATGACGCCGACAACACAATCGGGATATTACTTGGAGGAAAAAAATCCTTCTCTTTCCAAAAAGCATCGGCAGTGCTAACAACGCGAGCGACTCGCCCACGATCGTTACCACCACCGCCGTTTACCAGGAGTGGCGCGCGGGCACCAGCGTTGGCGACACCAGCACGGGGGACATGGCTGCGACCACGGGCGGCGCACTCGTCGGCGGGCCGAGCGGGGCGGCCACGGCGCCGCACGGGCGCAGCGCTACGGCGTTGAGCGACGACGACGATGAGGCAGACGCCAGACGCAGGCGGCGCGCGCACAGAGCCTCGTCCGAGTCGCTGTTCCCCGCCGTCGCGGTGGGCCCAGGCCCTGCGTGGTGAGAGCGTTACGGTCATGGCAGCAGGGGCGGCGGCGGCCATGACGGTCGCGGCGGTAGCAACGGTGACAATGCAAAAGAATGGGAGGCGAAAGGCTCACCCCCACAGGCAGCCACGATGTTGATGGCTGCGCCGGTGCCCACGACAGCGACGTTAGCGCTACCGCTTTTACCCAACATCCCCTCCTCCTGGCTCGACTCGGAGCCCTCGCTCAGATACCCGCGTGCCGCCGTCGCCGACGCGGGTGGGCGCGCGAGCAGCGCCGGCGCCAGGTTCAGGGCGTGCTCCCCGCGCCGCTTGCGTCCCCGCCGCTTGCGCGCCTGCCGCCGAAGCTGCCGGGGGCTCAGGGCTCCGCCGGGCGGTGGGGGCGGCAGAGGAGGCGGCGGCGGTGCCGGCGCCGGAGGGGGTAGCCGGCCCCACTCGATGGCAACGGCCCTCTCCTCGTCGTCCTCCTCGTCGTCCTCCTCCTGCTCTGGATCCTGCTCCTCCTCCGCCGCTGCCGCTGCTCGTGCCTTGTTCTGCGCCGACGTCTCCTCCAGAGCCGACGCTAGGTCGTGCACGAGCTCGTCCATGGCGCCGGCGGTGTTTTGGAGTATGCCGTGTGACGGGTAATAGCGGTCCCTCTTATCGGACTACTTCAGGTAATCCTCTATTATTGTTATTCTGTGATCAGGTTAGGGGTGAACGTCAAGTAATGAGGAATAAGATACTGATGCCTCTTTAAAAGTAACCCTGCCTGTCGGTGTCAATACTCGTGCTACTACACAAAGGTGCTTAATGCTTGGCTACTTCGCTTTTATTAGAAATATTCTTGCATTTTGCTCTTATGATACCGGCAAAATTCTATGACATTGCAATGTGCGTAAAACGCAATGTAAGAAAAATCAGTAAGAACACGTACGTGCAAATTTGGAATGAAATTCGACACCGCTGCATCGCTACGCACATAGAAAGAGGGCATGCATTCCACGTTTGCTCGTTTAATACTCACCTACGAATAAGGATGGGCACAACGCACGCGTGCTTGGCGCTACATTCCCGTGTTAAACATATACAACGGGTGAACGTTCATACGTTAAAACGCACCTATTTTTAGGAGCCTATTTTAAATACAAGGTTTTATTGGATTGAAAAAATAACCCTACTAATTGGCAAATACTGTAATAAAGTTTGCAGCATAAAAATAACTACTAAATTTTGTTCGCGGCAAATACTGTGAAATGTAATGCTTCCTGTGAGTAAACTTGAATTCCTCTATACTGGTTGTGGGGAAACTACACGTGCATGTGAGACGGACTTTAACCTACAACACTGGCTTGTAACAACTGTTTACGGTTTAAAGCTGACTTAAGGTGACATATGAGCTGGATCTCATATCTGTGGCTCCCGCGAGGAAGTCTTTGGGCGTTCAATCGACTTGTTCGTCAATCTGAATGCAGAAAACCCTGTTACAAACACACACAAAGTTGTATTAGAACGTGCTCGTTTGCAACATACGCTTCGGCGTACACTTTAAAATCAAGCCACGCAGGGACCCCTAAAAGTGCGAAGAATAACCCAAAAGCCCTGCGCCTACTCCGTAGCTGTCACCCTGTACTGTTTACCCCGTATTCTTGTACAGGGAAGTTTTCAGGTCCATATGGCCGTACAGATGTTTCAATACGGGCACAATTATATTTTTGTTTGTTTGTGTTTCTCCCTTGTGATGTGACTTTGTAGGATGAACATTGAGATTTAAAAGGGCACGGGGTGACCAATGAGGTCTGAATTGGTTTGTAATAAGGTAGGGCACTCATTAAGGGGTTGACAGGTAAATAGCGGTGTTGGTGGTGATGGTGGTTTCATACCTGTCAACCCAAACAGTTTACTCTGTATTCTGGTACAGAGGAATTTGAGTTTTCAGCTCCATACGGCGTAGAAACGTTTCAATACGGGCAAATAATACTAATTTGTCTATTTGTGTTTTTCTCCTGTGATGGGACTTTATAGGATGAACGTTGAGATTTATAAGGGCACGGGTAACCTATGAGGTGTGAATTGGTCTGTGATAAGGTAGGTACTGATAAGGGGTTGAGAGGTATGCAACTCGATGGTATAGTAGGCCTTGCTTGACCAGGTCAACAAAACCACTTTCATAACCACGATAGTGATCACGCCCTCTTAACCACCCAATCAAGTGCATTCACCCATACTCTTTGGTTCTTTCGGTAAAGTCACGTAGGTAGAAAATATAATAAATCACGACGTTTCGGGCGCAACAAGCATGATCTGCTGCTGGGGCAAACTTTTAAAAGCATTTTTAAAGTCTTTTAAAACAGTCTGCCTCAGTAGCAGGTCATGCTTTTCCACCTGATGATGGACGCTTGTGTTGCGCCCGAAACGTCGTGATTTATTTAATTTTCTACCTACGTGACTTTACCGAAAGAACCAAAGAGTATTGATTCCTGCAGTCACGAAAGCTTCAAATCCAGATTGCATTCAACCACTCAAAAACCACAATGTTGTGAGCGCTCACAAACCAGTTTTAACCGCGCTCTGAGCATCTAATCACACTCGAAAACCACTCGCATAACTATCGTTTAAATGACACTTGCAAAGCTCCAAGTAGCCTTATTCACACGTTCAACCGCTTTAAACCACACTCTCCTCACACGATGCAGTGGTCATAAACCAAACCCAGTCTTAACCACACTCTACGGCGCTTGTGCCAGGCTAGGTGCACCTTCAATAACACACACAGATCCCCCGTGTAGCCTTAACAGACTGTTAGCGAGCACCTATGAAGGCCGGCACGGCACACGAGGGGGTGGGTGGCCAGCACCACGCCCGGCCGCCTTTGTCTCCCCAGTGGCGATGTTTACACATCGCACCAGGTACTCGTTCGAGGCCGAGCCGACGTTTGTGCCACACACACACCGTGTGACTGACACACACACACCGTGTGACTGACACACACACACCGTGTGTGACTGACACACACACACAGTGTGAATAACACACACACACAGTGTGAATAACACACACACACCGTGTGACTGACACACACACACAGTGTGAATAACACACACACACCGTGTGACTGACACACACACACAGTGTGAATAACACACACACACCGCGTGACTGACACACACACACCGTGTGACTGACACACACACACCGTGTGTGACTGACACACACACACCGTGTGAATAACACACACACACAGTGTGAATAACACACACACACCGTGTGACTGACACACACACACCGTGTGACTGACACACCCACACCGTGTGACTGACACACACACCGTGTGACTGACACACACACACACCGTGTGACTGACACACACGCACCGTGTGACTGACACACACGCACCGTGTGTGACTGACACACACACACAGTGTGAATAACACACACACACCGTGTGACTGACACACACACACCGTGTGACTGACACACACACACCGTGTGTGACTGACACACACACACCGTGTGTGACTGACACACACACACCGTGTGAATAACACACACACACAGTGTGAATAACACACACACACCGTGTGACTGACACACACACACCGTGTGACTGACACACCCACACCGTGTGACTGACACACACACACACACACCGTGTGACTGACACACACGCACCGTGTGTGACTGACACACACACACACAGTGTGAATAACACACACACACCGTGTGACTGACACACACACACCGTGTGACTGACACACACACACCGTGTGAATAACACACACACATAGTGTGAATAACACACACACACCGTGTGACTGACACACACACACCGTGTGACTGACACACCCACACCGTGTGACTGACACACACACCGTGTGACTGACACACACACACACCGTGTGACTGACACACACATACCGTGTGAATAACACACACACCGTGTGACTGACACACACACACACCGTGTGACTGACACACACATACCGTGTGAATAACACACACACACCGTGTGAATAACACACACACACACCGTGTGACAGACACACACACACCGTGTGACAGACACACACACACCGTGTGTGACTGACACACACACACCGTGTGAATGACACACACCGTGTGACTGACACACACACCGTGTGAATAACACACACACACCGTGTGACTGACACACACACACCGTGTGACTGACACACCCACACCGTGTGAATAACACACACACCGTGTGACTGACACACACCGTGTGAATAACACACACACACACCGTGACACAAAATACGAACGCACACTCCATCATCACCAATCATCGGGCTGGCATCGCGCCTTCACGTCGCACGCGAGTCATTAGTGTCGCAGCAGCAGCAGCAACAGCAGCAGCAGCAGCGGCATTATAATCCCCAGTTCGTCACCAACAAACAAATCGCCCGATGTAGCCATGACCACGTTACATTAACGGGGGAGATGGTGATGTTGGTGGTGATGTTGTTGTTGTTGGTGTCTCTCGATCTCCAACACGAATCGACGTCCGGCGGCGCTCGCGTCAACAACGCGTCGCCTTCTTCCCTTACTGGCGTCGATCGGCAACGCAATCAAGAGCTGCCTGTGTCACAACAACAACAACGACAACAACAAGGCGAAGCGCCGCCGCTGCGTCTCTGCCCCCTTACCGCCTCTGCGCTTCGTGCTCCACTCGACGCTGCGCGGAGGGGGGGGGGGGTCCCTGAGAGGCAACGTGAGGCCGGGGCCGGCGCCATCTTGGGTAAGGAGAGACAGAAACGTGTCGGCGGCCATCTTGGTAAGGGTAAGAGGGGTGGGGGTGACGTCACTGGCGGGCGACGTGAAAGGCGGCACCCCTTGCACACGTGGTGGTGTAAATAAGTTCGGCTCAGCACGCGGCAGCAGCAGCAGCAAGTTCAAGTTCATGTATTAGGTGTAGCCCTGTGAGCCGTTCGGCTCTTGAATCGGGTGCAACCGCAACAAACAAAAACCATGAACAAGAAAACATCTTAAAGTGACTAAGTGCAAACAGAAAATGCAAGAAAAGACAGCAAAATATTGTAGAAAAATCACCGTACACCAACGCTGTGTGCAAAAATACCAGTGGGATGCAAGTCAAACAACAACAACAACAACAACCACAAGACAACTTAGATTAAGGCCATCAGTCTAACTCTGTACTACAACAAACAAACATGGCCAAACCAAAAAACTTTTCGAAAATCACCAAAATAAATCCATAAACGCAATGAAACAGCGGTCATAGGAACTGCGACCGAATTTTCAAAATAAACGACGTCAACAGCATGTACTACCAAACTCGGCAGCCATAGCTGGCTGCATGAGTCACTCCACAACAGTAGGAGCATCAGTCGGAGTATCAACATTTTTCAATGCAAGAGGCTTTCGTAACCACTGTTACCCATAACCCATAGCCGTCACAACCCCCACACGTACATTTCGATGTAAAGCTTTCGTGACTGCAGGGATTCATCTTCTTGGTTCTTTCGGTAAAGTCACGTAGAAGGGAAATAATGAAATAATAAAAATAAAACAATAAAATAATTCTCACGACGTTTCGGTCTCCCAGACAGACCTGGTCTTCACCTGAGGACGGCTGCTTGCGTTGTGGCCGAAACGTCGTGAGAATTATTTTATTATGTTTAATTTTTATTATTTTATTATTTCCTTTCTACGTGACTACCGAAAGAACCAATAAGATGAACCCCCACACGGTTTATTAGCCTGTATTCTTCTTGTACAGGGAAATGTAGTTTTCAGGGCAGTACGGCGTACAGCCGTTTCAATAGGGTCACGGACTTTTTTTTGTGTCTGCGTTTCTCCCCTGTGATGGGACTTTGTCGGATGAACGTTGAGATTTGTCAGGGCACGGGGTGACCAATCAAGGCTGAAATGGTCTGTAAAAATTTAGCCCGTAAAAACAAAGTTTTTCACTATAAATCCTTTATATGCGTGGCATCGGTTTTATTTTATTATTCATTTCTATTTTTCTTGAGTAAGAGTTTCATTTTTATCACATTGGTATTTTAAATTAAACATGAATATTTTTTTCCTAAAAAGTGGAAAATTTTGGGAAAAAATTTTCACGAAAATAAATTGTCACGCACAACGAGTCTGTGTGCAAAATGTCAGCTCGATTGGATCACGGGAAGTGGGTTAAAAAACTACCGAAAGATTTGCACGGTCCTAAGCAAGCAAGCAAGTGAACTTAATATAAAGGAATTAGAAAGGTAAGGGGTGGACAGGTATGATAATAGAGGGGGAAGGGTTTGCGGTGAGAATCGCGTAAATAGAAGTCGTGAAACTCGCCACCACCCAGACAGCCGAACACCCGGCGTGTTGGAGAGTGAACCCACTAAGGGGCCGTCCATAAATGACGTCATGCGATTTTGGACGATTTTTGACCCCCCCCCCCCTCGTCACACGGCGTCACAAAAAGTCAGACCCACCCCCCTCAAATATGACGTCATGCGATTTTGGACGATTTTTGACCCCCCCCCCCCCTCGTCACACGGCGTGACAAAAAGTCAGACCCCCCCCCCCTCAAATATGACGTCACAAAGCTCTGCCCCCCCCCCCCCAAAACCATATTTCCATTTTTAATATAAAACATGCTTCAAATCGCTTTAAACTATTGTCATTGTAGCGCGTATTTAATGTGGCGCTGCACTCTGACGTTGTAGGAGTGTTAAAACAATTAGTGTTATAACAATTCTATATTTATTTAAAGTTGCGCATTTGATGTGACGTCACATTTATCAAACCCCCCTCGTCACATGTCTGACCCCCCCCCCCCCGAAAAAACCTAAGAGTATGACCCCCCCCCCCCCCAGTTGCGTGACGTCATTTATGGACGGCCCCAACGACGTTAACAATTCGAGTAACGCGACGTTTCGCCGGTAATGACAACAACCAGCATCATCAGGCGACAGATTTGTGGAGAAATCCTCCTTCTGTTTCGTTCTTGAATAGATGGGATGAATGTGATTACATTCTATTTAGGATCGAGCGCCCTTCCCAGGGCACTTCACAACGCCAGCCGACGACGGTGCACATTGGGGCAAAAGGGGAGCAACGGGTGTGGTGGAGCGGTCGTCAGGGAGGTGATGGAAGGGAGGCAGAGCTGTCAAGCCCTTATCAGTGCCCGACCTCATTACCGACCAATTCAGACCTCATTGGTCACCCCGTGCCCCTTATACATCTCAATGTTCATCCTACAAAGTTCCATCACAAGGGAGAAACACAAATACAATTGGCCGCATTGAAACGGCTGTACGCAGTATGGACCTGAAAACTGAAATTCCTCTGTACCAGAATACAGAGTAAACTGTATAGGTTGACAGGTATGAAACCACGATCATCACCAACAACAACAACCGCCATTCGCCACGAAGTGGCGGTGACATCACCACGACGCTTTTGCCAGGCCATGTGCACCTTGAGGCCACGTGAAGTGTCGAACGCCCGCTGGCAGGAGGTCACGGGGCAGACCCAGGTGCCACGGGTCGACTGACTGAGATGACTGAGATGACTGGCTGATGCACCACCTGTGCCCCCTACTGTGTCATCACCAACACCACCATCATCACCAACACCACCTTATACCGATAAACCCCTTAATCAGTGCCGACCTTATCACAAACCAATTCAGACCTTACTGGTCACCCCGTGCCCTTATAAATCTCAACGTTCATCCTACAAAGTCACATCACAAGGGAGAAACACAAACAAAAAGGCAAAAAAAATAATTGTGCTCGCATTGAAACGCCTGTACGGCCGTATGGACCTGAAAACTCAATTTCCCCGTACAGTAAAACCTTGGATTGCGAGTAACTTGGTCTGCGAGTGTTTTGCAAAACGAGCAAACATTTTAAATAAATATTAATTTGATAAACGAGCGAGGTCTTGCAATACGAGTAGCACGTGTATACGTTTGTCTGCCGAGCGTCACGTGATCACAACTGATATACGAGTGCTTTGATATACGAGTGCTTTGGATTACAAACATGTTTCCGGAACGAATTATGCTCGCAATCCAAGGTTTTACTGTACAACAATATGGAGCAACCCGCGTGGCTTGACGGCTCTGGGATGCAGAGGCAGGACCTGAAGCTGCTGCTGCTGCTGCCGCACGGGTAGGCAAGGAGGAGCAGGGTGGAGTGTGACGGTGTCAATGAGGGTGACAGATCAGTTCATTTCAGTTTCATTTATTTGGTGTAGCCCCGTGAGCCATTCGGCTCTTGAATCGGGTGCAACCGCAACAAACAAAAACATGACAAGAAACATCTTAAAGTGACTACACGCAACAAAAAAATCCAGGAAAAATCAGGAAGTCTACCAGAAAAAGCACCGTATATCAATGCTGTGTGCAAAAATCCCAGTGAGATGCAAGTCAAACAATAACAACCATAAGACAATTTAGATTAAAGTGATCAGTCTAACTCTGTACTACAACAAAACAAATATGGATAAACCAAAACGTTTTCGAAATCACCAAAATAAAGATATAAAAACAATGTAACAACAGTGATCACAGGAACTGTGATTCAAATTTAACAATAAACGATCTACATAACATGTACCACGAAACTTTGCAGCCATAGCTGGCAGCATGAGTCACTATAACAGCAGGAGTATCAGTAGGAGTATCAAGATGAGTGCAACGTGGATGACAGGTGGTTCGATTTTTTACTGGTAGGAGCCTCCTGGTTACACCAGCCCACAGGGGATTATTGTGTCCGTCGTGCAGGGAGGGGCTGGGTGGGGAGGGAGGGGCTGGGTGGGGAGGATGGGGACGGGCTGGGTGGGGAGGGGAGGGTGGGGAGGGGCTGGGTGGGGAGGGTGGGGCTGGGTAGGGGGTGGGAGGGGTGGAGCTGGGTGGGGAGGGGCTGGTCACCCCGTGGTGCCCTTATAAAACTCAACGCACGACCTCCTGTATACTTGGCGAGGGAGTTAACATCTTTCCACCGCGGCACCTGACTTAGGGTGAATTGCCCCATTAACCAGGGAGTTCAAGTTCCAAGTTTATATGTATTGACTAGCTTAGCCTTTTCATAATAAAGGTTTTTGGGTTAGATCGCGTTTGGGGCCGTCCATAAATGACGTCACGCACCTGGGGGGGGGGGTCAGACATTTGTGACGATGTGTGACGAGGGGGGGGGGTTGAGAAATGTGACGTCACATCAAAATGCGCAACTTTAAAGAAATATAGACAAGACGTTCTAATTAATTAAATAGACTTTTTAATAAATGTTTTCTCCTACAACATCAGAGTGCAGCGGCACATTAAATACGCACTACAATGATAATAGTATACTCTTTGGTTTTTTCGGTAAAGTCACGTAGGTGAAAACAAAATCAAATAAAAAATAAAATAAATCACGGCAAAACAAGCATCCGTCATCAGGTGTAACCGCTCCAGCAAAATTACTGTAGCGTATGAACTTCAAATCTAGAATGACAATAGTTTAAAGGGATTTGAAGCATGTTTTATTTGAGGGGAGGACAGAGCTTTGTGACGTCATATTTGAGGGGGGGTCTGACTTTTTGTGACGCCGTGTGACGATGGGAGGGGGGTGTCAAAAATCGTCCAAAATCGCGTGACGTCATTTATGGACGGCCCCTTATTTATAAATGTGTCGCAACCCTCCACCACCCGACACGACCAATCAATAAAAAAAAGTGTCACGTTGACAAAAGACAAATAGTTCACTCCTTTAGCCCACCGGTGTGTTGAAGAGTGAATCCACAACATTTTAAATGTTTGAATACGACGTTTCGCTGGTAAT